ACTAAATATTCACTGTATGATAAGATACATTAACAAATTTATTATTGTTTTATCTCTTCTTAAATAACCGGCAAAAACTTTTCAAGGGGGGGTGTCAACTATTAGAGCCCAAATCGAGGGGTGATCTAAATGTTGACCTAGTGTCAACTTATGGATTTTTGTAGGGGAGAAAGTTGAGTTCTGTATTTCGTGCAAAATTTTTATTCATAAATCAGTGCAGAGCGCTTTCGGCCTAGGCGATCTTCAGTGCTACCTAGAAAGCAAGACAACAACCTCTATTGTAATTTCAAAGTTGAGATATGAAATTTGAAAATCTTTGAAAAACATTTTTGAATTTGTTTAAAATTTTAGAAATTGTTTAACTTACTTCGTCAGGTGTACAGGAGTCCACAATTGTGAGAGAATTTGGTAAAAACATAGATGTAAAACGTCAAAACGAACAACAAAAGACACGTTACGACATTTTTAAAAACCCTTCATTAATATCACATTGTTACATCTATGCAAGATTGTTGAGGCAATCGACTAGATTCTTGATCGATTAATTAGTTTGTATTTTATTTGATTTTGATAAGGTGATTTTCAAAATTTGAGAAATGCCAATCCCATTTCAGTTTAGTTCATGATGATTTGCAACTTTTATAGTTATAATTTAAATATTTTCAAATTTCGACAATGACAGATGATAGATGACATTGTGTTGACACAGCTGATGAATGAATCAACCTCGATGCGTTTCCAACTACACAGTTGAATTGAAATTTGAAAGCCCATAAATTTTAAAGAGAAGAAAAGAAAGAAATTTTCCTTTATTTTGTAAATTTGGTTTTTGTATATACTTGATTATTTTTAAAATAGAAATTATTAATTAGTTAATTATTATGTTTGTTCTGAAGTCCAAAATGATGAAGAACCGACCCCTGAGATGTTTGTACCCTTATTATCGAAGTTGTTATATGAATTTTATGTTGACCTAATATACACGAATGATGGTAATTATTGTTAAAATTAGTTAGTACATAAACAGTCAAGTAAATCGTCAATTATCTGTCGAAAAAAGTTGAAGACATGTGTGTTTTATTCAAGGAGACGTCTATGTAAGGGGATATAAGCTCTATTCAAGTTGACCTGTGTGTCCAAACACGAGAAATTGTCCTGAAGTTCCTTTGTGATCTCTATGTCCTCCATGAAAACCAAGCGATTGAAGTTTTTTGATGCGACATTATGAAGTATTTTAGAATTGGACCGTAGACTGAAATCATGGTGGTTACTCCCAAGATGTTCACCAAAAGCTGAGGTAGTCTTAGTGAGGTGTTCTTGTATTCTAGTTTTTAGTGGTCTGCAAGTGCGGCCTATGTAGGTGCTGTTACATGAACTATGATCTGCAGTTTAATTTGTATATACCACTTTTTGATAGATGGTCTAACTTGTCTTTTGAATTAGCTAAATGTGAAAACAAGCTATTGCTAGTTCTGAAGAAATTCTAAAATTCTCGACATTTTGGCGGAACGCTTGATCAATTTTAGAGTTTGTGTCTTGATTTAGAAAGGGTAGTGCAATGTATCTATTTACTTGAGCTTCCAGGGTGGGAAAAATCTCTTGAGCCTTTTATATTTAGTTTTAATTATGAGTCTATCGATCATATTGGGGTCATGATTGTTATTGGAAGCAATTTGTTTTAGAATTTTCACTTCATTATTGTAAGCTTCTTTTGAGAGAGGGATATTGAGAAATCTATTGACGTAACAGTAGAAGGCTGCTAATTTATGTTGTTGTGAATGATTTGAGTGATCAGGGATAGCATGGTCAGTTTGTGTGGGTTTCCTGAAAATAGAAAATTTCAGCTGGTTTGTGGAGTCTTTGGAAATAGAGAGATCTAAGATATTAATATTGCAACTTTCCATAGCTAACCCATCAGGTTGTTGATAAATGGTTCTGTTAAAAGAGAAATAATTTTGAAATAAGCAATGATTTAAGAGAGATAGTATATTTACTACTTTCGTTTCATCTAAACCCTTAGACCTCAATAAATCACCTACAATGTTGACCGCTTCGAATTTTGGGACCGTTGTGAAAAGGTTAGTTACATCAAAGAATACCATGAGAAACTCGTTAGGTAGGTTAATATTGGTTAATTTGTTGACTAATTTGAATTACTTACCCCGAATTTAGGTCTGAAAGACGACCGAGAAGACGACTCATTTTTAATCAATTTAAGTATGAAAAACGAGAGAATAGATATTGGTGTATTGCTGAAGCTTACCACCGGTCTAATTGGGGATCAATCTTATGGATCTTTGGCAGGCCATAGAGTCTTTGTAAATTTGGATTAGGTACTAGAAATCAAGGTTTTTGGAGCATTGTGATCTGAAAGAAAATCGCTGAAATGTTTGATAAGTCTGTTAGTTTTCCTAATAAAGGTGTTGTGTGGATTTGATTGTAATATTTTAAAATTGTTGTTCTGAAAAAATGTAGTCCTGTCTGCTAAAAATAACAAGACAATTTCCCTTGTCTTTAAGTTTGAGTCTCTTGAGAGTCTGTAAGGAAGAAGAAGAAATAGCATTATTCGTTCTTTGAATGTTTTTCATTGTGGCGTACAAAATAGTATGTATGTCATTGCGTAGAGTTTTTTTAATGTTGTAATTGTGGGTGATTTGTTTGATAATAAAGTCCAACTCTACAGCATACTTTAGAACATCTTAGGAGTAACCACCATGATTTCAGTCCACGGTCCAATTCTAAAATACTTCATAATGTCACATGAAAAAACTTCAATCGCTTGGACTTCACTTCAACTTCAAAATCAAATAAAATACAAACTAATTAATCGATCAAGAATCTAGTCGTTTGCCTCAACAATCTTGCATAGAAGTACCTACCAATGTGATGTACTTGTGATAATAATGGATAAGGTTTTTTAAAAATCTCGTAACGTGTCTTTTGTTGTTCATTTTGACCTTTTACATCTATGTTTTTCCCAAATTTTCTTACAATTGCGGACTCCTGTACACCTGAAGAAGTAAGTTTAACAATTTCTTAAATTTTAAACAAATTCAAAAATGTTTTTCAAAGTTTTTCAAATTTCACATGTCAACTTTGAAATTACAATAGAGGTTGTTGTCTTGCTTTTTAGGTAGCACTGAAGATGGCCTAGGCCGAAAGCGCTCTGCACTGATTTATAAATAAAAATTTTGCACGGAATACAGAACTCAACTTTCTCCTCCACATTCCTCAACGTGCACACAGCTTCAAATTTCCAATTTCTTATGGATTTTTGGCGGTAAAAATATTTTAACATTGTAGTCTGTCTCTTTTTATTGCACTGAATTTAAAAGAAACTTAGATATGGGTTTGGGAAATGTGACGGTCGTAGATCCAATAGATGACACCCCTGTCAATGTTTGAAGCATTAGAGTGTCAACAATTGGTCCTTTCAGGGTTAAATCGAGACATGGCTTCTGAAAAACGGAAATTGCTGAAATATGCACCAGAACTACCAGAAGACATGATTGCTGCGTTGGAAGATTGCGATAGGGGGTCTACTGTAGCTACATCAGCAAAAAAACAAAATGCACCAATGATTTCTAAGCCATTTCTTTCATTACCACTTTGGAATTGAAATTTGTATTTTTTCTCAACAAAAAGTTTCCGAATGTTATTTTTTATTAATAAAAAGTTTGATTCTTACATTATTGATATTTCTACCAGTGTTTATACTGATACATGCAACATGTCAACTATTGGGTTCAAGAGTGTCAAGTAATGGAACCACGACATGTATTTGAAAAGAAAAAAATTAATTGGTTATTATGTGCATATATTACATTAAAAAAATTATAAACTTAGAAAAATATACTTCTTATGGCTATTTGCACGGGTATCATTTAAGGGATATTTAATCTAAGTGGAGCTTTGAATGTGACTTTTGTTTTTATAAGAGTCACATTCAAAGCTCCACTGGGATTAAATATCCCTTAAGTTGTAGCGGTGCAAATAGCCGTTAGTTCCAAACACCGTGAAAAAATTCCTTAAAAGTAAAAATTTGGTTTTGTAAAAAAATATATGTCAACCTTTGGACTAAAAATGTGTCAACTTCTGGCGAAGTGAACTTTTTTGGGTGTCAACTATTGGGGTTTTATCACCTTTCAGGTATTTTTGTCATAGTAACACAAATATGTAATAGGAATAGGTAAATAATTTATTTATACATTCAATTATGTGTTTGAAATCACGCCAAAAAATATATCAAAGCCTTGGGTTTGGAAATTTGGAAAATGTGTGGTGATCATAAGCTAGGATACCCTTAACATGTCAATAATTGGGTACTTTACCTTAAAGAATTCTTGACAGTGTGTTGAATCAAAGAAAGTAGTTGGGAAATATCTTGAATTGGAAAAACACAAGTGGTTAACCAAAGTTCCAACACAGTGCTAATTACTAATACTAATAATAATGCTTTATTGTCAAAAAAAAAATTAATACATAATTTGTGGACAAAGACTTAAGATTAAAAATTGTATAATATTATTAGGTATGTATACATCCACTTGTATACGAAGTCAAAATAAAATAAATATAAAAATGAACAAATTACCTATAACCAATGATCCAGTGTGTGGAACGCTCCAAAATAAGGTTGTCAGAAAAAAGTCATTTACTTTATGTAAAGGTAGGATTTTTAACTATCCGGCATTGCGGCGTGCGGTAGCGGTGTGCGGCTTTGCGACGTGCCGGTGAGTTGTATACCATGTTGTAACATTGAGCTGTTTTGTTACCAGGCGGTATGCGGCAACGGCACTGCGGCGCCGCAAGCTGACTTTGCGGCGTGCCGCTGAGAAACTCCAGAATGTTTTTCGACGACACCGCAGTAGTGTGCGACGCTCCACGACCTTGCAAAATAGTTTTGTTTGAGTTTTGTTCTTGCAGTCATCATGTCACTGGATTCCCAGTTTGATGAACAACTGATCGATTGTGTTCGTACGTTTCCTGTTCTTTAGGAAATGAGAAAAAAATCTTATAAAGACAAGATTGCTAAAGACAATGCTTGGAGAAGAATCTCTGAAACATTGAAATCTACAGGTAAGTACCTATACAGTAGTATTCTTTAATAATAATTATTATGAAAACAGTATGAAGATTGTAGAACATATTTTTGTTTATTATTTTTTCAATGTGAATCAATTAGAAAAAAAATATAATAATAATTATTAAAAGCTATTTTTTTTTGTAACAACGACAAAAATTTGATTCGATTTTCATAGTTCTATTGCACTCGTTCCACAAATGTATCCTGCCAAGGAACGGAACCCTCAGGGCTTGAAAAAAAATCTCTGAATTGTTCTCTTATACCGTATGCTTCAAAATTCCCAGTTCGGCCTAGCGTTACTGCTAGGTTTCTAAAATTTGTGGGCATCGACAAATTAGACGTAGATTCGAGAGTTTCATCTATCCCAACAGCGGGTTTTTCCTCTCGCAAAAAGTTATGAATAATGCAGGCTGCAAGGATAATTTTGTCAATAGTTCCAGGTTGAACGGCAATCGGAGTATAGAAGATTCGGAACACTTGACTAAACAATCCAAAACCATTTTCCACAGTCCTCCGAGCCCTGCAATGTCTGTAGTTATAGATTCTTTTCGTCACATCTAATTTTGCCTGCTCTTGTGAATATGGTCTCATCAAATTGGTGGTTAGTTTGAATGCTTCATCACCCAATACTATATAGGGCAGAATGGTATCTGTGCCTGATACTGCATCTGGACGTGGGAAATTGCGCGCTTCATTGATAATTCTCCCTATTTGAGACTTAGTGAAAATTCCTGCATCACCCTCTTTTCCAAATGATCCAACATCGACAGCTAAGAATTTGTAATTATGGTCAACCAGTGCAAGCAAACTTACAGAAAAAAAATTCTTTATAGTTAAAAAACATAGATCCTGTGTTTTGAGGACAACGAATTCGAATGTGCTTCCCATCTATACTGCCCACACAATGCGGATAGCTCCAACGCCGTTCAAAACCTGCAGCAACCTTCTTTAACAAATCTTCTGTGAGGTCAGGAAAGGCCACTTTTTGAAGATTATTACAGATAGCTGAGAGGGTTTCCGGGATAATTTTGCGTGATATCCAAGAGAAAGGAATTCTGAATTGGTTTGCAAGAGATCTGTAAGTTTCTCCGGTAGCTAAAAATCTGAAAACAGATGAAGCCAGTTAGGTTTTTGAATTAGGTATTAAGGACTAAAACGCACTCTGGATAAATTCATTATAAAAACGTTGGGCAATTTCCCAATTTATTTCTAAACTTCTGTTTTTTACAGAGGAAGATTGCAGGAAGCGATGGCGCAACATCCGAGATGCTTATAAAAAAAGCAAGAAAAAAACAACAACCGGTTCAGCAGCAAAAAAATCAAAATATAACAACAATGATCATTTGAAGTTTCTTGATGCATCTCTAACTGAAAGAGAGTAAGTTTTTCTGCGAATTATACTTATTCTTCGGATGTGTAATGCTTTAAATTTCCATTATTCCGTTATTTCCCCGAAATGCTTAGCTAGCAGTTCTCACTGCACACTAGACAACGATGATGACCAAAAAGAAAATGTTGAGCAGATATTCAACATAGATGAGTCTGCTAGTTCGCCATTTCTTGGATCAGGTGATGAGAACGTATGTCAAGATAAAACAAACTCTTCCACTGCGTCTAATGAAAAAATCCGTCGTCGCACGCTTTCACAAGAAAATGAATCAAATGAAAACGCACAGTTTGATTTTGCAACTACCATTCAATCTCCAAAGGAAGGTAACATACCTAACAAAAAACGGTTCAAACCATACCATACCATAAATGTCCGACTATGGACCAGCTGAATAAAAATCAAGCAGAACGTTTCACAATCATCAAAGGTCTGATTGGAAACGAAAATAAGGCCTCTGCAGTGGAGACTAAACCAAAGCACCCAATTTTCACTTTCTTCGAAAGTTTGGCGAAAACAGTGTCCCAGTTTCCACCAGATATAATTGCACGGACAAGAAGCAAAGCAGCCCAAATTGTGACAGACATGGAATTGGAAAGTATTGCAAGATCATCCAAAATACCAGCTAACAATCCGTACGCCATGACTTTAATTGAAATTGATGAAAATTCTTCTACAAGCAATTGTTACTCGGTAGTAAGTCCCCATCACTCTGCAGCGGATAATATCAAAACCCCAGAAAATATTATCTATCCCTGATGAAACTACATGTACAGATCTCCAATTCCAGGTAAATATGACTCCAAAAATCGATGAAATCGTCCAAGAAGCGATCCTGTACTAAAACTACTGAAAGTTATTTGATTTATTTCTTTAAAATTAAGATTTTATGTTGTTTGGAAGAATTGTTATTTTTTTTTCTTTTTGCTAATAAATTATAAATAAAACGGAATATCAAATTATTTCCCAGGTTATTACCCTAGTCATCGGAATGGCCATCCTTCAACATCACGAACTGCTTATTTCCACATCACTATAATATTTTAATGGTATTATGTATATCAATAGTAAATAAGTACATATGAACAAAATAAAAGTAAAATCAATATATATAAAAGAAAAAACTTACCTCAACGTTAAGCAAAGCTTTACTGCCGGTTCTATTGGTTTAGGATATCTGTATGAAGGCGTTGTTGTTATATCCTTTTCAATTGCATTTAAAATATAGTGAAACAGGTCACGTGAAACTCTCAGATATGCTTTAAATTGAGTTTCACTATCATTCAAGTGCCGTTCAATGAAAATGTTATAAGCTCCTTCTTGTGCACGACTTCTATAAATGTTTGAGATTTTACTGCGATTTTCACAACAGTGAAATACAGCTCCTTCTTCTTCATCTTCGTCAAGCAAGAGAATCGCAGCAATAGTACGACGAGTAGCTGATTCCATTTTTTGATCGCGACTTCAAAAATATTTGCCTGACAGTTAAAAAACAAATTTGCCGCCAACGGCATGCGGGATGCGATATCCGCAACATCGCAGTACCGCACACCGCTACCGCACACCGCTACCGCACGCCGCAATGCCGGATAGTTAAAAATCCTACCTTAAGGCTCTCTCTAATAAATAGGATTTTAGAGCTATGCGGAATTTAGGAAGAGATGCTATGGACTTGATAACTATTGGCAGATGAATGTGCATTTTTTTTTGCATTGTATAGAAAGGAGCTCTTAATTAACTCGGAGGATGGGGTTGGCAAATAAAAATCATGCTAAGTGGATAGTTATGCAATGGCCTTACTGAAATACTGGATAGGTGTTCGCAGATTAAACAGACTAATTCTAATATGAATATTTTATACTTTTGAAAAAATCTTGGCAATGGGCTCTATTTTCAAATTTTTGAGAATAACGAATAGCTTTTTTATAATTTAAAGATACGCTCAAATTGAGTTGCACAGCACGTACCCCAGAATAGAAGGGCGCATCGAAGATGTGATCCGAAAAGGGCAAAGACAAAATAAACTATTCTAGAAGTTGACAATTTAAGTTCTTTTGAAACTAATCTTATCGCAAAGCGCGGGACTTGATTTTTTGGATGAAGAATGGATATGCGAGCTCCATCTCAGGGAGCTGTCTAGATTAAGGCCCAAAAATTTTACAGAATCATCGACGTCAATAGCGGTGTTATCAAGTATAATAATAGGTTGCAACTTATTTTTATATGAGAGAACTTTAGTTTTCGCAGCGTTGGAGCACCATGGTTCAATGGCAAACAGATCGTTGAACATCGTTCTATGAAGAGCTACAATATTCTAGTCTAGGAGGCAGAGACGATTTTCGGTACTTATTTTCCCAGTCATGAAACATGGATAGGATTGTAGGGTTAGTAATTCTAAGCAAAATTCATACATATTTAGGGGGTGGGGGGGTTTCCGATGGGTTGAGGCACAAAATGCGTTAGAGCTTACAAATGCACGGCCCTTTTTTTTTCAGTGATAAAAATAGCTCTACTAATGAGAAGTATACTGAAGTTACGTAAAAAAATAGTATCCATAGTATATGGATAATACGTCTGGCAAGTGAAAAATTGAAGATCCGAAAATCTTCCGCCAGACAACTTTCCACCATCTGAGATAAGCCAAATTGCTATGTTCATATACTTTATGTTCTACTGTGGTAAATATGAAATATTTATGACTGGGAAAATAAGTTTACTTGTATTTTTCAGTGATCTTGTGAACCCATCCGAAAATTTTTGCGAAACTCAAATATTCTTGTTTTGTATCAAGAGAACAAACTATTTAATATACTTCAACTGGGAAAATAAGTGCTAAAAAAAATTTCACTGCCTCCCGGACTATCCGGGTTGCTCAAAGTGCAACTAGTTTCATCAGCAAAACGACAGATTTTACGGCTGATGTCTAGCCTAGCAATGTCGTTGATAAACAGCAAAAATAATATTGGACCCAACATGGAACCTTGTGGAACTCCACGTGGACCACGTGTAAGAAAAATACCCTCTTTTTGAAGTCCTACAAAGCAAAAACCAAAAACGACCGGTTTGATCATAAAAATTAGGATTTTTGAAAATAAATTTTCAAAAATCCACCACATATTGCCCAAATCTGATCGTGTCAGAGCAATACAAGCTTATAGTATGAGTAATTAGCAGTGTGTTGAAGCCTTTGGTTAAACACTTGTGCCAGTTTTATTCGATGCATAGGTAAATTTTTAGCCAATTTTGAATATTTACATTTTTTATTTTTGACAGTGATTTAATACTATTAAACTCTGGTATATCAGATGGGACTCATCCCGATCAGAACTTTCTAAGTACCTAAAGGTAAGAAACAATTAAGCCGCATTCAAGAAAATTGAAAAGAAATTTAACCCGACGGCAAAGTTAATAATTTATCTAATCATCCGGGGCAATTTATATTCAAAACGACGTCGACCTTCCATCCTATAAGCGCCCTGAATTTGCCGAAGCTTGTGGGGCCTGAGGAGATTCTCAGAAAATTGAGCAACGAACTTTGTTTTCATTTCCTCTTTTGAAAATGTTTTTTTTTTTTTATCGAATCGAGTCGCACTGTAATTTTTCGTCTGGCGATGGAAAGTTTATCTAACTTTTTCAGGCTTCATTAAAAAAAAAATACCTATGGAGTTCCTTGTCGAACAGGGATGGAAGAAAGTGTTTCCAAGATTTTCTTCATTTATTTTTAATATTTGAATATTTAAGCGACTGTAAAAATTTTGAAATAATTTAATTTAGGACCTAAAGTTCGAAAACGGAATTATATTTTTTAAAGATAGAAGTGTTTTAGAAAAACTAAATGGCATGAAAAATATCAAAAATCGTAATATTACTCCAGCAGAAAGAATCCACAATAAATTAATTCAAGATAATTATGCTTGGCTTAACTATTCCGAGCTACACTGACGTGTTATTTGCAACTACTCAGAACAACTCTAACGTACTCTTTTGTCGTTTGAAGCAAATTTGAATTAGTTTTCCACTACTGACGCACAGTTATTTTCCCCGTGGCCTCCCGATAGCGTGCAGAATCGAAAAAAGAAACCGATAGCCTCCCCCAGCACAAGGCCGTTAGGTCTTGTTTAACAAACTTTTATACGAATTTCCATTCTCCCATGAAAAGCAAAACGATTATTTATAGTGGATGAACATAATTGTCGCAGCATATTCCAACTAAATGGAAGAAAAAGACAAAACGAATAACCATCAACTTAGTATGCAAAACTGATTAAAAGATTTGCATTTCAAAAATAGGACATGGTTTGGTCGACTGGATGGATATATTCATAATGTATCCATCCGGCACTGTAAGGCAAGTTGGATTAAGTTGAATAAATAATTTTCACCAAAATGGCGCCCGTTCGCAACTTACTGGTTTAATGTCAAAGTTTTCGGTGTGCAATTCTGCCATGAATCGAATTAATTCCTTTGGTCTGGCGGACATTTTAGGCGCCGGGCACATCAAGAACTGCGGTCGGCAGACCGGCTCGAAAAAGGGCCTTAATTGACGGCCGTTCGCGAATTTCCGGACCACATATCTTCTGATGTGGGTTAAGTAGGGCAGCGACGCCTCGACGTTACAATTATAAAATAGTGAAAATACGATTTAGAGAGAAACAGTTTTTGGGTTGCTGTTCTGTCTGGAATATGGGATCTAGGAGAGCTTGAAATTACGCCTACATTCCGGAAAAGCTTTGGTCACATAAAAATATTAGGAATTTAAATAATTTAGCCACCAAAACAAGTTATTTGCATGGAGAAATTCATGTTTGCTGTTTTTAGGTACATATAATTTTCATCATTTCTTCAGTTTTTGATTTTATACACCTAATTTTCATAACTCCAGAAACAAAGTCGAGTCGTGTTATTTCACTAGTTTTTATAGACACTTAGTTACTACAGATTTGGCGACAACTGGTAGCGATCTAGTAAGTGGGTCCGGAGTTTTATTCTTCAAGTTTCAAGTGACTTTTAGCTAACCTTGTTAAAGTTGCATTGTGGATTTTTCCTGTTATTGTACAGTTAAAACTTTTTCAAATTGACAAACGAAACTATTATAGTGTCGAATCCAAGAACTCTCAATATTGGAGATAATTGGAAAATATTTTCTTCACCAATATCATATAGCTTAAAAGATGGAAGACGATAGAAAGCCATTCGTTTTAATCAGATCTACAGGGTGTATCAGGTATGAGAACAAATATTTTAATATAGCCCATTTCAAGCTAAAGCTGTCCTATTAACCATGGTAAGTATTTTCGGAGTTATCGCAGAAATTTAGAAAACTGTTAACAACGTGACAACATTGTACAGATATTATCTTTGCCAGGATATAAATGTGAATAGGACTGGTAAATTTAAAAGGTTTGTTTTTGCAAGAATTATATGGCCATCATCTCCAATGATTCAGGATATTTGTAATAACAATTAGTCATAGGCTAGCTCAGCATTTAATCTTTTATATAAATACGAGCAAGGCAATAGGGTAGTGGACAAGGTATAATTTCAATGCAATCGATGATCTATTCTACATCTATGAAGTAAATAAAAAATATTCGTATCAGAAGAAATTTCAGATAAAATTACTAACCTTGTTTAAAAAGTTGTGAAAGTAGAGTTTTGGGACGCACTATTTAAACGGAATTATTTCGTGCTTTGTTTCTACGTCATAGCTGCTGTATTCGGATATGAATTAAATCAAACCTACGTTCGATATTCGACAC